GGAGCCTGATGCGGGGCTCGATCCCAGGACCCTGGGATCATGACCTGAGCCGAAGGCAGACGCTTAACGACTGAGCCACCCAGGCGCCCCAAGAATGCCTTCTTTTAATCCTATAAGGCATTATATGAATGAGGAAACTCAGTCTTTCTAAGTAACTGGCCCAAAGTGACATGGGTGGTGGGTGATAGAGTCCTAACGGGAACCAGGAGTGCTCCTTCTCCTGCTTATGGCACTGTGTCTGTTTTTTCTTCCCTTATTGAGACCTACACTGAATTATAGCTTTTCTGTCTGGATGGTATTTTGCTAGACTGTACACTTCTGGAAGGCAGAACCTAGTCTAATTCATCTTTGCACACCCAAAGTATACACTCTAGGTACTCAGCAAATAATTTTAGAACAAGTGAATAAATGACCCTTCAGCAAGGAAAGAATCTGTACCTATCCCAATATACACTATTAACAGCACCACTAACCTTTGCCTAAGAAGCTATATCTGACTCTGAATCCTGATATAGGACCCACTTAGAAAAATGAGAAGCCTTTTATATTTTTTAGAAGACTTATTTCTGTCCTTACAATCACATTCCAAAGCTTTCTTTCAAGTCATATCACAAGAATAGAAATAGTCTTCCCTTTCATATTTACTTGACTAATTGCTTCTCTTTCACCCAGGGACACCCTAGTCTGTCCTAGAGATTTTGAAAACTAGCTAACAGATGACAGAAGAGATCAATCAATGTGTTCCTTGGAAGGTAAGCAAATATTCTGTAAGTAACCTCGCTGGAAAGTCTTCTTTAAAATAATGCTATCTACTTTCCACTCAGAAAGAAGTGAGATGTGGCCTGCCCCACCTGACCTTTTAGTACAAGCCAACTGGGGACACTTCTGACACCCAAATTGGGAGTGGGGTCCCTCAGTGGGGCTGAGAGTTTTGATCTCCCTTCCCTGACCAAAGAGTAGAGACTGGTGGCAACTCTCCCCCTCTGTGGTTTCCATCCTGTGATCTAGAAAGGAGAGCTGGCCTGAGCGGGAGTAATAATAATAAACAGGAGGATGTACACTTACATGTGTTCACAGGAGGGCACAGCTCACAAGGAGTACCCCAGGCTTTACCCAAAGAACAACAGCAGGAAGCCTTGGAGACACCAACTCCAATTTCATTGCTACAGGCTGTATCTCCATTGTCTCCTCGAGGTCGAATATCCAGATAGCAATTCCCAGAGCGGGTATCTATTTACCATATATGAACAAAAGAGTGTCAGGAAGATTCTCTCTAGGTGAGGATTGAAAATTCAAATCCGTCTCAGAAACTGCTTAAAAACCATAATTTACTTTCTTAGGAAACTAAAAAAAGTGCCCAAACACATATACTGGGACTTTAACCTATAGAAAAAAAATAACTGAGAGTATAAGCCCAATTTAGGAAATGTTGAAATCTTTACATTATTACTTTTTTAAAATTTGAGAGTGGAATGTTCAAGGCTGCTTTAAAAATAAAAATATACTTCTCTAAGAAGTTTTAAGATCTTACCAACACAGCCAACTCGGGTTGGGTTCAGCTCAAAGTCAGGGGGACAATCGCAGGTATAGCTGCCTGGGGTGTTGACGCAGTTCCCACTGATGCACGTGGTTGGATCCAGACACTCATTAACATCTAAAACCAAACAGCAAGGGGCACACTTATCAGCCAATGTGGGGGCAGACATCACCATAAAACGGTAGCTCCGGGTCTGGGGCTCCCAATAAGAATTTTAAGAGTTACTAGCTATAATTACACCTAGAAATACACAGTCTTCCACTTCTGAAATAAAACCCCTCAGGAAGGAAATATGTCATAGTCTTTGGTCTTTTTCCCCTGGAACACATTTAGCATTCAAATTTGTCATCAGGAGAAAATATAACTTTGGAACAAGGAAAAATATTCCAGTCAAGGTAACTGAAAGCAAAACACTACTGTGACCTCGGTCAACCAAAAATTCAGACACAGGTTTTAAGAAAATATATTTAATATGTGTGGCTTGTTATTTCATCAAATTAGAGCAAGATGTCCCAGGGAACCCTTAGGAGCAGGCAACTTCTGCCACTTCCCCAATGGGGCATGCTTGCCTTGGTGCAGCTGAGTATGAGCACAGATGCATGCACAAGGCCTAGCATGTTCCTTCAAGCCGGCTAAGAGTCACTCTCCCATCACTGGTGCTGTGTGGAATATTTCCCTTTCAGTTTCTATTCCAAAAATATGTGCAGAATTCCAGATTGAGGACATGGATTTTGGCACATTGCACCCTGTATAATCCTTTTGTCTGTTTTGATCACTCGTGAAATACTCAAGAACAGACAACCTGACTCAGAGAGAAGAGAATGGGGAATGAGGAGGATACCTCCTCCTTGGGCTTCCCTCCCACCCTGCCTTGGACCTTGTAACCCTCCTGTCGGTTCCACAGCAGACAATTCATTTGTTCCGACTGCATGTGAACTTGGAGGGACAGGGCAGACTAAAGGGAAATAGGGTCAGACAGAATGATGCTGACGGTACTCTGGGGTGCCGAGGAAGGGGCCGTGGAGAGGCAACTTCCTGAGGTGTGCTAGAGGCCCAGCTTGGTGTCATGATAGCTTTCAGAAAAAAAACAGGAGAAGAATGTCTGGGGAGGAGTACTCTGGTCCAAATTTATTTTATTTGTGATGGTGGTAGTGGTCATAACCTGGAGAGCCACTGAATCATAGCTTGTTTACGTAGCTGGAAAAAATACATTTCCCCCCCTGAAATCCTGCGCCCATCCAGAAAGGAACATGTTCCCTCAATATCCTTGAATGGACGGGTGGCCTGGGAAAGAGAATTGCAAATGTCTTGCAAAGTCTTAACTCAGTGCCAAAGTGAGCCAAGTGACGGTCTACCGAGGGCCTGCGGCTTTTCTCATTTTTTTTTCTTATGCTCCCCGAGAGCTCCTTGCTTCACAAGAAAACAATCTCCATGCTAGAAATTGGTAGGCGAGCTCTCTGTATCACATTCCCTGGTGACCACAGACAGGCCAGGGTGGCAAGGAGTGGGTGTCACAGTGGAGAAGTGCAAGGAGAAAACTCATGATCCCAGCGCAGCGCGTGGCCTTCAAAAGGAAACTCTCTGCAAATGTGCCTGAGGAGAAAAGGAATAGCTGGGAAGCCTAATAGCCAGCGCACCCCTGGAACCTTCTTCTGCAGCCATGAGCTTGACTGTGAGGCTACAGACCCTGCTCCTTCAACGGCCGGCTGCTCCTCCCTCTGCATCCTCACGTGTAACCTGTGATTCCTATTGCTTCGTCCCCACTTTTCTTTTGTGACTCTGAGTAATCTTGGGGCAGGGGTCCCAGTGAGGCCCAGCAGCCAGGTCCCCAGGACAGCAGGGAGCAGATTCCCACGTGAATGGATGTCTTACCTGTGCAGTTCCCGCCACTTCTGTCCAGTTCGTAGCCTATCTCGCACTCACAACGGAACAGGCCGGGAAGGTTGTGGCAAGTTCCAAAAACACAAATGTTCGGAAGGGAGCACTCGTCGATATCTTGGCGGAGGGACACAAAGGGGGAGAAAGGAAATTTATCTCTTTGCTAAAGGAACTGCCTAATGTCATCACCTGACGTTATTAAGAAAGTGAAGACTATCCGACCTCAATCTAGGTGCTTCTCCTGTAGCCTGGTAGACCCTCTGCCATGTAAGTGAAGCCTCTTAGGTGAGAACTCACTTTTTTTCAGCCCCCATTACATGCCAAGCAGTAGGCTAGGCATTATGTATGTAGAGTTTCTGGTATGTCACACAGGCCCATGTCCCTTTCGTGAAGTAAGAGTCCAAAAGGCTACCTTAGACCCAGTTCTTTGGTTGTTCTCATCTACACAGTCACTGTTTTTATAGTGGGTTAAAATTTTACAAACCACAAAGGCTTTGTGGTAACTTTTGTAATCTGTTTTATAATCCTCTGTATCCCTAGAGCTACGTTGGGTGCTTGCTACTGTTGGCAGAAACGCTTCGTTCAGGCCCTGGTCCCCCACCCCATGCTAACCTCCTGCTTGGGTAATTGACACACGGACACATTGCAGCCTTGAGACTGGCTTTAAATAGCCATAACCCCTCTGCCGGCAATGATTTATATTAAGAACAAACAAACAAACACAACCTTCCCTTATAGCATGAAGAGAAGCAAAACTCTGACTGTGACTATTTATGTTCCCAGAGGTGGCACAGTACTGTTTTAGTTGGATGTTCAGAGTAACAAGAGTAAACAAGGCATTAGGCACAGGGTCCAGAGCATAATCTGGTTTCTTGCCTCAGAGGAATTTTATATCAAACTCTGCATAGTTAATATAAACTGCATAAAGAACACCTAATGGTTCCATAACAAAGAAAAGTATTTACATAGAACCCTATGAGAGAATAAGTATACATGTCATAGCTAAAGACTGATTTTAAGTTAATGTCCTATTAACAAGCAACAATTATTAGTTAAGACATTAATCAGGGTCTTGTTTAAACTTCTACTGTCAATGGTTATCATTTGTTTATTTCTACTGAAATCTTTTTAGATCACTGTAGACACTAATTCTTCTCTGTGAGGGATAATGCACTTAAATCTGACAAGTGTGGGGAAAGAGAAGAACCTTGTGTTTCCTAGTGGAAGCCATCCTGAGCCAAAAGGCTCCCAGGATTCTTCTTGTCTGACCAACACCTCAGGAAGACAGAGCCTTGTGCTGAGAGACAGCATGACATATAACATTATCCCTAGGGGCCCCCTACTGAATGGATTTGCAAAAGACTGTTCCATGTTCACATATATTAGATATTTAGAGACCATGTGAGACATGCCCAGTACATTATTCTACATATGGAGAAGATTATCTGCTCTGTTATTATTTTAAAGCTTTTATTTCTAGAAACCAAACCAGAGCAGAGATTAAAAACATATTTAAAGAGGATCCTTCCATGGGACATGATCAGGGGATGAGTACTTTGAGCTCCTTCCCCTAGCGATGGGGATAAACAGGTTGCACTGAGCTAACCACACTTGGTTAGCCTCTCTCTCAGTTGGTCATAGGAATGACCAACAGGTGTACTCGTGCAGACCATCTGGCCAAGGTTGGATGTGCAGCTTGTGGCCAGATAGCTGAGATTTTTCTCTGCGCAAAGAGAAATGGTCCAGCTGGAGACCCAGTACCTCCATAGACTGAACTGACCAGCTCAGATGTGAAGCCAAAACACACCTCAGTTAAAAAAAAAAAAAAAAAAAAATCAGGAATGTTTAAATAACCTAAGTTTGTCCGGCCCTGCAAGGGCCCCGGCAGCTTCCCCGTCAGTTACCTTCACAGGCTTTCCCATCAGCACTGGGCACAAAGCCCATGTCACATTCACAGCGGTATCCTCCCGGGGCATTCAGGCACTGGCCATTGCCACACAGATTCAGGTTCTCTGAGCACTCATCAAGATCTACAGCCAGAAAGACACACAAGTTACTCTTCCCCAGTTAGGAGCTTTCCAGTTCCTCAGATCTTTTATTTTTTTTTTTTATCACTATCAACTTCCTGAGTGTAGCGGGGTCTCATCATAGTTTCTATTTAACAACCTCTAAACCCATCCTTTCCCCTTCTTTGAATGTTAGTATTGAATAGTCCATGAATATGGGGTTCAGGTTCAGAATCCTGAGTGCTAAATTACCCCTAATGATGTAAAAGGAAGAATAAGTCAAATGAATCATTCAAATTAAGGCTGTCACGAGTAAGGTCGTGCACGGAAGGACACATGCATGACAGGAATAACGTGCCGTGATTTGTGCCCATTTCTCAGGTTTCAGACTCGGCTCGGATGGGCAGCAAAAGACCTAGAACATCATCTATGGAGGAGGCCAAACATTCCTGTCTGCTCAATCTCTACTGAGCTTTGCTAATAACCACAGGCACTAAATATCAAACACACGAACCATATATACCTAATACATGAAACTCTGAATATTTTCTAAGGGGTAACGGGAGGTTTAGGATGACAAAACCTCACTGGGATGGACAAAAACAATTTCAAATATGATAAACACTTTCAGCGAGTTGAAAAAGTTCCAGGTAAATCAACTGACTGGGCCTCAGTCTCCTTTATGTTTAAATGGCGTCTTGAGCAAAGTGCTCAGGATACACTAATGCTTTCAAGTCATATGAAATGGATCTCAATATCTTACCATGATCTAGAACGTCTGAATCCCTTTTCCTTACATAGCTTTCTACAGCAAGCTCACCCTCGGGTTTGGCATAGAAAACAAGTCAACGGTGAGAAATGGGTACAAAAATATACAGGCTAAGGATTATAAAAGGAAGTGTGATTTTTTTAAAGCAATGACATCACTGGGTATGGCGATACCCAGATCAACTATTTAACTACATTTAGCTCCTGAGGTCTCCCTAATTGACCTGACTCCCAATTTCCATTCCACGGGGATGTATTTTCAAATAAGCAATCTTCTCTGTTAAAGATTGACTATAACGGGGGCGCCTGGGTGGCTCAGTCGTTAAGCGTCTGCCTTCGGCTCAGGTCATCATCTCAGGGTCCTGGGATCGAGCCCTGCAT